GAACAGCTATTTCAAGAAGACAGGAAATCAACCTCCTGCTTGAAATAATCTGGGGAAAATATGCATATTTTACAAATAGGTAGATACAAGTTTAAATATGAGTTCTGAATAGGTTTTTTATTCTGAATCAAGAAAATCTATATTATTGTCTAGGTTTTCAAATTCTTTTTTAAAGACATTCATTCTACAAAGAGAAAGTAGTTGATAAAGCAGAGAGTAAGAGTGAGAAAATTCCTTGAGTTTGTTTCATTTTTTTTTTCTAGAAACCGCTAAAAAAATAGATTATAGTCAAGATAAAGGGAGTTTCCACAGATGACTCTAGGAGGGAAGCAGAATTGCCTAACTGCTTAACTCAGTTGTGTTTCTTTTTTTCTTCCCTTTAATCCTAAGAAGAAAAACAAAGGTCAAATGGAACAAAGCAACAACTCAGAATCAAGTCATTCAGGGGCAAGCTTTTTTTGTGTGTAAAAAAGATAAATAAACAGCACTACTTTTTTTCCCCCTTTAAATAGCTGGGAAAAGTGGGAAGAAAAAACAAAACAAAAAACAGATACTGTCAAAACATTCCTGATCATGATGAACATAGATAAGAAAGAAAAGTATGACTTTCACATTAGTTTAAATTCCACAAATGTACATCAAGCGGGTATAGTGTGTCAAGGGTTTTGTGCGTGTACAGTTTTAAGTAATAAGAGACTGGGGGAAAAAAAAGCCAGAGGGGGAGGAGTGGTGGTTTGCAACATTAGCCAGAACTTGCAAGTATATTGTGAGAAGTAAAGCAGTCCACAGTCCTGTAAACTTCTCTCCCAACTGGCCAGCCAGGAAACCAGCTAAAGTCATGTCACCACATGATAAGCTTTCTCAATAATATTTCATACTCATGGAACCAAGCTCTTACTCATTCAATAAACATATACTGAGCATCAACTGCTACCACACTCTGTTTTAGGTATTTGGAAAAAATATGGTTGCTGATGACCCTACTCAGATCTACTGAGCCTAAATCTCTAATTTTAAATAGTATTTTAATTTCTTTAATGATTAATAATAATTATCCATCTAATAATAATCATCCAGATCTGGGAGCTCCTAGATGCAAAAGAACCTATGACAGTTCTTGATCTCAAGGAGCTCACATAAGTGAAGGCGAATATACCGATTTTTTCCAAAATAAGGTTAAAAATGAAAAAAAAAACAAAAGTAGGAGGGGAACAAGTTTCTTGCTGTGGGCATTCAGAAAAGGGAGAGATGGTGGACTGCTGGAAGTTGTAGAGGGAATGAAGGAGGGCCTCACAGAAGTAGGTATGCTTGTGTTAGGATAGTTATGATTTGAACACGCAGAGGAAGAAAAATCTACGATTATAATAATAAGAAACACATCTCTAGTGTTCACTGAGAATTGGGCCCCATTCTGGGTTTGTTATATGACTTATCTCTTAAATTTATACTTCCCCATTTTACAGATGGAGAAACTAAAGCTCAAAAAGTAAGTGTAATCTACTCACATCACACAGCTAGAGACTGGAAAAGCTAAAATTTAATTCCAAATCTGTCCTATTCCAACACTTCCACGCCTCCCAACAAAGAATAAACAAGGCTGAAAGATGTAAAAGTGTCAGACATAAAACATGTTCCCTTTGGTTGGAGGATGGCAGAGTTGGGGGAGACAGGATTGGGAAGGTTAACTGGGACCTGGGCTGTAGATGTTTCTTTTTTCACAATTATTCATCTTTCTTCCCCTCAAACATACCAGCATAAAGGATCTGCTTCCATCGGTGGCACAGTAACTGGGGTGTGGGGGAAAGGCAACATCTCAGAGCTTCTGGTGTTTGCAAATCTCCTAGCTGAGAATAACTCTACTCCCTTAGCTCTTTTAAGCTATTTGGGCTTTATATGGCACCAAGGGGGAAACCACTGAAGGGTTCTGAGAAGAGAATGCTATGATAAAAGCTCTATCTTAGGTTTCAGGCTGTGAATCATGAGTTATATCTCACAATCTTTGGCGGTAAAAATCAAAAGTTTGAAGAGCCTCACCCCACCTTTAAACAAAAAAGTGTGGCTAGGAACCAGGTGAAACTGCTGACTTATAGCTGTCCAGACAAATTCCCAACATGCCAGGCCTTATGAAAGATTCTACAGAGCAGGCCTTAAGATAAATACAGTGAGTATCTGTTACCCTCTAAAATATGGACCTACTCATCTCTGGAGCTGTCCAAATCTGGCATAAAGATAGCTCTGGGGAACACAGCATTTTCTGGGACCTGAGGGGACCCCAAGGGGCAAGGGGAATGGCAAAGGCATTGGAATCAGTTATTGGCAGAGTTCAGACTCCTGACTCCTGGTCCTGTGCTCATTTCATCAAATCATGTTGGTATGCCACTAAATAAATGACACTGAGAAAACCATGTTACCACTCTGTAAAACATCTGAAAACATCCCTTTCCTCATCTGTGGAACAAGAGATTGAATTCATCAGGTCTCAGATTTCACACAATTCTCCATCTTTCTTCCCCTCAAACATTCCAGTGTAAAGGATCTGCTTCCATCGGTGGTTCAGTAACTGGGATTGAATTTGGGGGAGAGGCAACATCTCAGAGCTTCTGGTGTCTGTAAATCTCCTAGCTGAGAATAACTGTATTCCCTTAGCTCTATGAAGCATTCCAGTCCTCATTGGGCTTGATCAGGCTCAGGATTATCCTTTTAAGTGAAAACAAGTTCACTGATGTCAAAAGTAATTCAGCAAACACAGGGCACCATGAACATATCCAGGCATGTTCAGGGAGCCCCTCCATCCTATCATCAGAGAATGAAAGCCTGAGAATCCAGACCTGTCAGAGCTTGAGGATGCTCTTATATTATTTGAGAGTTTTAAAAAAATAATGTGTGTGTGTGTTTATAAGTAAAATTCCAGGGAAGCCAAGAAAAGGCTAAAGTTGCAGAGTTATTGGCTGGGGGCAGGGGCATGTAGAGGAGTTAAGAACCATGATGCATCTTTTAGACGTTAACAAATTACAACTACCAAAAACGAATTTTCAAAGGAGTAAGTGATTATCTTCTTAAGAGACTTTCAACTATGTAGATCCAAGAAACTTTATCAGAGTAGAGGTAAGTAGGGAGAAGATGTAAAAGCTGTGCTCTCAGAAACATTGCTGGCAGAACATAAATTTAACACATGAAGTCACATACTTTTGAAAGAACTTCTTGAACTTCATTAATTCATCAGACAACACCCAGTAATTAACTGACAGAGTTCCTGTAATCAATTCACTGGAAAAATTTGAGGTATTTTAAACCTATGGCTTCACCTTCTTTGACCTCCAACCAGGGGGACAGGAGCAGGGGAATGACAAATGCCAGGATTAACAGTGAAGCAAGCATAATTACAGGACTAAAGAAACCCACATATTGGGAGTTACTTCATGGTTATTTATTTTTATAGGAATGAACATGAATATGAATTCATTCTTCAGACCTGAGAAAGGAGAATCTGTCCAAGATGTGTGACAGAACTATCAGCAGAACTGCCAACCTTATATCTCAGATTCCTGGGAGAACTAAGCTACAGAGACCATGCTGCAGGGCCACCCACGTTCTGCGCTGGAACTGACTTAGAATATCTTCACTATCAGATACTCAAGGTCCCCTCTCTGCCCGGTGCTATTGATTTCTCTAAGACCACCCAAAACTCTGTCACTCACTTAAAAGGAATCGGTTATACTTTACACATGCCTTAGCAAATCCATCAGGAGCACAAGCAAGTAAAAGACAACTCCTGGAAAGGAGTCAGGCTTTCTCATTTCTTGCCCCAGATACCAGCCCAGTGAACTCCAGCATCTTGGTTACAGTGCATTGGGAGTTCAGAGTTAGGCTTCCTTGAGATTTTATGAACTCCACTGACAGTTGCAAGTGTGAGAGAACTCTAACATCTGTGTGATATCAATCTTATCATCAACCTATGGGATGAGTCACAAAAGACATTTGGATATCTGAACATGATGTATATTTTTGTCTCCTCAGAAGGACAACCTGGTCCATTTGCTGGCATAATCAGCCAACCCCAGAGCTGTCACTTCTCCATCAGCTGTAGAAGAGACATTGATATATTGACATGGAAAGCCAGAATGGATGGAGGGTGATGGAGAAAGAGTATAAGTTCAGAACAACTTTGGGTGAGTGGGGGTGGAGGCTGTGGAACTCATTCTAAATTCCCTGTTGATATATCCAGAGAGATCTTTGAAACTATGAATGTGAGAAAAATGCCAATCGACATTGTATACCTTCTGGTACTAGTTTCAGGCAAGTTGAGAACACAAAAATAAAACCAGGAGAAGACTAAGCATCTAATAATGAGCAAACCAGTCCAAAGGGTGCTGCCAACAATTGGAAGCCCTCTATTTAAAGAGAAAAGTCAACACATTGGATAGATACTTTTAGTAAGATTGCCTCACACAGTTTCACCTCCTCCAAACTTACCTTCTGTTTAACACTTGAGCTTTACTTTTTTTGTAGTTGAAGAGAAGAGAGAAAAACAAATTTGTTTCAGAACAGGTCTACTTTTAACTCTGCTATTTCGAATGTGCTTTCTTTTAAGTTCTAGAGAAAAGGTGTAAACTACAGTGTAGGAGGGATAAGAGAGAGCAGAAAGAAAAGAAATGGGTATAGAGCCATACCAACAAATGAATCGAGAGGACTTGGACTAGACCCAGCTCTGTCAAAGCCTCATGAATTAGTGCTGAATGGGTACTTTTATCATCTTGGTGAAGAAGTTGAGGCTGAGATGGAGAGAGAAAAGGACTCGCCCAAGTTCCTCAATTGTCGGGTTCAGAGTCAGGGCCACCAGATATCTAGAGTCACAAACACGAGCCAGAAATGTTTAAGGAGACCCAATCTGAAATGCTCCGGGACAGAGCCAAGCAAGATGGCAGGAGCAGAAGGGAGGGCTCCAGAGCGCACTTGGGAGCCGAAGGGGGCGTTAGGTGTGGAAAGCTCGCAGTGGGTACCTTGATGTAGGCCCGCTGCAGGTAGTTGTAGGGCACTCTGCGCTGGAAGTCGCTGCGCACATCCTCGCTGACGCGGTGGCGGGACGCGGGTCCCCGGAGGCGCTGAGTCTCGCAGCTGCGGTAGCAGCGCGCCCGCTCCAACACTGCG